GTGTGTGTGTGTGTGTGTGTGTGTGTGTGTGTGTCTACGTGTATCTCTGTGTGTGTGTGTATACACGCACGTAGACTACCGACACATGCACACACAAACACAAGCACCTGGACTAGCCCTTCTCCCCCACCCCCCGGGACCCTGCCACACACATACGGAATTGCAGGCGGGCTGAGGCGGCACGGGAGAAATGACAAGTGAATACCCGACAGCACGGTAGTTTGTGTTCACCTTGGGCGGAAGTTCAATTTTGGGGGGTATAGACTTCATTGCTCCCCACGAATAGATTGGAGCTTTGTTCCCAAAAAAAAAAAAAAAAAAAAAAAAAAAAAGACTTCATTGCCCTGAGAAGGGGTCAAAAGAAAAAGAAAGACAGTCCAATGCTGCGACTGATGGGATATTATATCGAAAGTATAGAATCCCTTCGAGTCCTCTGGCCCAACAGGGGCTTGAAGGGCTTCCTAGTTTTTCCTGTTTCTTTTTTCTTTTTTTTCCCCAAACTGTCATTTGTCTTCCGATGTATTCTTCAGGCTTTCAGTGCTAAGGACGCACAAGTGATTTCTTTTTGGAAAAAAAAAAAGGGACAAATGAAACGAGTCTATGGCACGCAATGTTGCACGTCCTTGAGGACATCCGGAAAAAGTTGAACAGTACCGAGAAGGGTAACTAGCAAATGGCCCCTAGGTAAATATGACTTGCGCAGTGTGACTGACACTTAGGGCCTACTCACAAAAGGGTCTTTATTGGCAAAATAGCTAACATTTGATTCGATGGTTGGGCCAGTCGCACAAGGCAGGGAAAGTCGCAAAAGCAGCATAAGGGGTATCAAATGTCAGGGGCCTGGGGGGCTTCCGGGAAGGGCATTTTGCTACCACCTCTGGGAGGTTGTAGCAATTTTTCTTTTTCATTTCGAGAGTTCGTGAAAGGAAATTTGAAACGAACTTTGTCGAAAAAAATCGGCGGCCTCCGAAGTGGCGCGGGTTTCATGCTGACACCCGCGGGCCTATTCATGTGTACTGGTGGTTTAAACCATCAGACTGAGTACATTTCCAGCCATTTTGCGGAGACACGCGATACACGCTGGGGCGTCAGGCATGAATTACAAGGGGGTGCAGTTTCGCCCGAAATCCGTCCAGGCAAAATGGGTTGCATGTTAGGCCCGTTTTGGCTGGGGGGATTTTGGGGGAAACGATACCCTGGTACATCCCGCATGCACAGCGCGTTTCTACAAAATGACAGTGATACTCTTTCATCTGTTTACATATTACATGGGAATTCGAACTCGAACTGAGGTCTGCTTATCAGCAATCCATGGGTGTACCATCAGCCAAAAGGGCTGGGTGGTGACCCCCTCTTCTGTTCTCAAGGAGGGGTAGGCCTAAGGCCCGAGGTAATTCAGAGTCATTATTTTCGTCCCATTCCTCAGCAGGATTTTAACTCAGGCCTGCTATAGCACTTCATGCATGTGTGCTATCAGCAGTATTTGAACCCAGTGCCAACTTGCACTTATACCCAGAGAACTGCCGGTGAAAATTATTTGCATGCCCAGGAGTCAGGACTGAGGTGGACCCAGGTTGGTACTGCAAAATTGCAGTTATAACCCCTAGTACCAGAATGCACAAATTATGGACAATGTCATACCCAGGAAAAATTATGGGCATACCTGTGGACTGGTCCACCGGCCAAATTTTTCATATAGGGTCTCACTGCACGGCACACAAAACGAAAACGAAACGAGTGCATCTGCCCACGAAAGGTGGCAAAATACACTTGTTACAATTTACAGCAAACCGATGCACTCGTTTCGGTTTTCGTTTCGTGTCCCGTTCGGCGACGCCCATACCCAGATGCCTGAAAATTTTGCTCATTCCCAGCAGCCGCTCGGCCACAAGGTTCCACATGGTGGGCATGAGCATAATTTTGTGGTTGCCGTCCAAGCCCCCCCGCTGGCTGTGGGTACACCCACAATTTGGCCAGCCCTTTTCTGGGCATGGGCATTATTTCTTTGCCTGGAACTCAGGGCTTGCGGGACTGGGTATGCCTACAATTTAGCACAGGGGAAAGTTGGGTACTGGGTACTATGCAAAGTTGACGGGCCGGGACTGGGTATAGCGGGTATTCTCATCTTTAAGTGGGGCAAAGGTGCAATTTTGCCTTTTTTTCAAAAACGAAGGGGTAGCCCCCACTGGAGCTTTAGTCTGTATGACAGACTTCCTGCTGCCACGTTCGTGCTAACAAAGCACGAACCTGGGCGGAAAGACGGTCACGTGCAAGCTGACTCGTCACAAAAGTAGCACCACTGGGTTCGTGTTCGTGTTCAGTTGTAGGTAGGTCACAGCGTGACAAGGTGTGCACCACTTCTTTGGGCCTCGCTCCACTACTCTCAAACTCCACTACTCTCGAAATGTGCAAAATGAGACTGAATCCTCCGAATCAAGCTGGAAAGATACATTGCCATATTTTTTGCCTTTTGTGCATGTCTACAGTAGTGGAGGGAGGCCCTTTTTCTCGTTTTTCTTTTGTTCTTTTGTTCGGTTTTACAGAACCATCTGGCCACTCGGCACGGGCATGGAAGGAGCGAGGGCCAGATCCCCCACTGGTGTAATGATCATTCTATCGAAGCACGAATCTAGCCGATATCACGCCCAAGGTCGTGCTTGGATCATAGTGCCAGTTGAGCCTGCCCCTAAATAGAACATTCCAATGGGCGCCCCACGACCCTCCGCACTCAAACCACTAGGCATACATATTATCGACTAAAAATCCCTACCTAAGGGCCTCGCTCCACTACTGACCACATGCACAAAAGACACATGTCAAATTATGGCCGTGTATCTTGCCATGTTCTAGCCGAACATTCATTCTCATTTGGTACATTTGGTGAGTGGTGGAGCGAGGGCCTTATCCTCTCTACTAGGCTCGTTTTGACCATGATGTCACATGTCAAAAGGTCAAGCGTACATGAATCCTCGTCCCCCTACAACCCAACACAATGCCCCCTTACTATCACTGCTTTTTTTTTTTTCCCCCCTATCACTGCTTTCTCTTTTGTCCCCGCTGATGCTTCCTCCATCAACCTTCTTTCTTTGTTACTGTACTAAAGTTACCCCCTTTCTTTGTTACTGTACTAAAGTTACCCCCTTTCTTTGTTACTGTACTAAAGTTACCCCCTTTCTTTGTTACTGTACTAAAGTTAACCCCTTTTTTGGGAAAACTACATATCCGTCACAAAACAAGTTTGAAATTACACTTGGGAAAGACAACAAATTTAAAAATTGAGAAAACAGTCTCAAATTGCACTTCTGGCGGTGTATACAACCTAGCTTTCCTGTCAGGTAGGGTTTACAGGGGTTTGTTATCTTAGGGGAAAATTAATGCCTGAAGCGTAATTTCAAACTGTTTTGTGACTGCAAGGAAGTTACCCCCGTTTTGTTTTTACTCCTTCAGCTCCCACTACCATCCCCTCCTTTTCTTTCTCCTCCTTCTCTATTCCGAACCACTGGGGCGAGGTCCCACTAGCAAAGAGGGTTGGATTCAAAGCCTGAATGTGGACGTGTTTGTGGAGAAGGAGAACTTGTGTTTCCGGGTTTGCTGTGTGGATTTAAAGCTGACGTCCGAAAAGTCCTCTGCGAACAAGTTTGTGAGAGATTCGCATTGTTGCATGTTTGTGTGTGTTGGTATGTGTGTTGTGTGCAGAAAAGTCCCCCGCTAAATAATCTTCTCTGCACATCTCCAGCTCCGAATGCTGTGACATCCCACAGGACCGCTTACGGCTTTCGGCTGCAGCCTTTTAAGCGTTTTACAGCCTTTTAAGCGTTTTACCGCTGCGGCCTTGGTTTTTACATATATACCGGGCAGCTCTGTTTGAGGGTACATACCAGTGATACCACGACTTCACTAGAACCCTGCTGCGGTTGGGCGGACCACCCAACACTGCCAACAGAGCACGGCATCACCGGGGCCAAGTCCCACTAGCAGCGTTGAGCTACCTCAACGCCTGAATCTGGACTCTTTTGTGGAGACGTGCAGTTCAGGAAACTCAACACCATTTCTGCACATCTCCGCAAAAACGTCCACATTCAGACGTTGATGTAGCTCAACGCTGCTAGTGGGACTTGGCCCCCGGCCAGGCTCAAGAGGGTGTCCTTATTTTCCGAACAGGGAAGCGGGAAAACACAATATCCCCCCCCCACCTGAAACAAACAAACAAACAAACAAACAAACAAACAAACAAACAAACAAAAACAAAAACAAAAAAACACCCAACAAAATATCCCGGAGGGACAAAAACACTATGATCGGTATACTGCTCTAAGTTGGAGACTGGGAGCTCACTATGTTGTGAAACGAACCTAGGCGGTATTCCTGGCTTGGTGCAAGTACATAAAAGGAGTTTGAGTCTGCAGGGCCAAGGACATCCTGACCACTGTGTCAGAGTGCCCCCTCCCACATCTGTCAGAGAATCCACTCACTAGGACCTAATGATGGCTGAGCGTCCACTGAGCTAGCTACCCCACTTCAAGTGGGCCCGAGTTTCAAATGAAGGCCAACCCTGACTAAAAAACCTTCTAAAACGCAGTAACTGTTTGAAATGCAATTACAGACTGCTTTCGTGACTGCGCCTGTGGTTACCCCACCAGAAAAAAGAAGACCAAGAAGAAGAAGAAGAAGAAGAAGAAGAAGAAGAAGAAGAAGAATGGAGTTCAATTTGAAAAGCAAGGCCAATGGATCAGCGTCTATGGTTTCGAAAT